GACCGCTGACCCTGCTCCGGGCCCACTGACCGCTGACCCTGCTCCGGGCCCACTGACTGCTGTCCCTGGTCCGGACCCACTGTCCCTGCTCTGGGCCCACTGACCGCTGACCCTGCTCCGGACCCACTGACTGCTGTCCCTGCTCCGGGCCCACTGACCGCTCTCCCTGCTCCAGGCCCACTGACCGTCATCCCTGCTCCTGGCCTACTGACCACTTCCATGCTCCGGGCCCACTGACCACTCTCCCTGCTCCGGGCCGCTGGCACGAGAGAGAAAAAACAAGCGAGAAAAGGATGAAAAGGAACGAATGGAACAGAGGAGCTTTGGCTGGAGTGTTCTACTCTGTTGCCATCTTGGAATGGTTCTGGGCTAAATATAGAGCAAGGCACAGGTGAGAACATCTGTTATTTGCAAGTGTGGTCTTTAACATGTAGTCAAGAGGTTTCACATATTATCTGAAAGGCAGCTCCTCCAGCAGTGCATTGCTCAGCATTGCACTGAAATGCCAGCTCAGATATTGTGCTCCATTCTAGGCTTGAACCTTACCCTCTCCTGACTTGGAGGTGAGGATGCACTGATCTGAGTCAACACCCACAACATTATCCTTTGCCACTGATAACTGGTTTCCTGATCATGAACAGACACTAACGCGCATAACCTTCACTATCAAGCAGGGCTACACTGACATGAATTGAAGATAATGTAGTGCAATCACCATTAAAGCAGGGGTTAACTACGATGAGAACGATTGAAACATAAACTGCCTGTATTTTCAGATCACAAGCCGCAGTAAGGAGTCGCTATGGGAACGTATCAAAGGCTTGTTGGATGCATGGTCAGGATGGGTAGTGATGTTGCTGATTGGACTTCTGGCAGGTATGCTTTCACTGTGGAATGATCTTGCAAATATATTGTCCAAATGGTCGACATGATCACCTCCATTGACTGCAAGTACCTGAGGCAGGATAGTATATAGCTGTGGGGGGGGTGGGCTAGGGGAGAATCCAGTCACCATCCTCCGACTGTGGTGAAAGTGGGCCGACTTGATGGTGTTTTCTGCTCCGTCCTTTTTGTACAGTGTTCCTCCGTTCTGTTGGCCTCAGAGCTGTCAGTACTCGGAGCAGGGTTTACTGAATAGCCAAACCTCACCTGGTTTTCACATCTTTTTGTGTCCGTCTGTAACCATCAGGTGACACTTGTAAATATGCCGGGAGATAAGGATGAAATAGAAATCTCAAAACTCAACACCGAGTCCACCCAGACCTCGTTTTTGCTGTTGCCTAAACCTGTTGTGGGGGAATTACAATTCAATGGAGATGTAAATATCCTTGAAAGGCCAATAAGGTTTATTTAAGTATCATAATCTGAAGTTTTTAAATTACCCCACTCTTTAAAGACTGACAAAAACAGACTGCTATTGTTAGTGGATGTGAAAAATACTCCCTGCTGGACTGCTTTGATCAGCCAGTGTAGTTAGAAATAATAAGTGGCATATCTCCTGCCGATTTCAGTTGAGCTGTTGTTGATATATTTCCCAAAGGAAATTGTCATTGTGAATGTAGGAGCAAATTACTGCAGATGCTGGAATCTGTACAGAAAACAAAAATTGCTGGAAATCACCGCTCCCATGAACAGTCACCTATGCTCGAAACATTAGCTTGCTATCTCTCCATGGACGCTGCCTGACCCGCTGTGATCTCCAGCATTTTTTTGTTTTAAATTGTCATTATGAATGCTCGGCTGCATTTCAAAATAAAACCTAGAACGATTTCTGCGAGAAGTTCTGTGTTCACTGTTTAATTGATAGTTCAAGGGCTATGTTAAAGGATTACTTGTCTTTGGTAGGGGGACTGAATATGAGTGATTAACCATTTGAGATCTAAAAAACTTCGAATGTGTTTCACAAAAATGACTGTTTTTCTACCATCATGTGGGAGCCGTATTTGATTGTTAGAAGTTCGTTCCTTTTCATTGCCATATGAGGTTTACCTAAGGTAGATACCAGTTGAACGACTATTGAAGTAATGTGAAGGTATGAGACAGTATGGAGTGTTGGCTGGGGAATGTATTGGCATTAAGTTGGTATGGGAGGATATAAGAAACCATTGGAGTGGGTAGAAGTGAGGGGTGAGAGCCAGAGGGTCTAAAAGCTTGTGAAACAGAAGTTCCTGAGAATCAAGGCAGGTATTCTAACTGGTCCAAATCCGTTCTAACCCACCCCTATAACTTCCTCGTCTCTAGCCTTCTCTCTGTCTCTGTCTCTCTCTCTCTCTCTGTCTCTGTCTCTCTCTCTCTCTGTCTCTGACTCTGCCTCTGCCTCTGTCTCCCTCTCTCTCTGTCTCTGTCTCTCTCTCTTTGTCTCTGTCTCTGTCTCTCTCTCTGTTTAATCCCACCACCAGAGTGAAAAATCACCCACAGCGGTGTACTTTTAATTAAGGCGGGTCTGGCGAGTTCTCGAAACTTGCCTTGATATTGAAAACTGATCCCATTACCTCTACTTCTCCCTCTTCACAGATCATGCCGGATCTGCTGACAATGTCTGGCATTTTTAATTTCAGATTTACAGAACCTGCAGTATTTTGTACAAAAACAGAAGTTGCTGGAAAAGCTCAGCAGGTCTGGCAGCATCTGTGAAGAAAAGAAAATCAGAGTTAACGTTTCAGGTCCGGTGACCCTTCCTTAGAGTGTACCTTCAGTTTTTGTTCCTGATTTACAGCATCCGCAGTTTTTTTGGTTCTCTGCAGTATTTTGCTCCTATCAGAAAATTTGACCTTTACAGTGGCCAGGAGACTTGCGAAAATTTCCAAAAATTATCGCACCGATGAGAGCGCAGTTAAGGTGTCTCTGTGCTAACTTCCAAGTGGGGCTATCACAGTCCTTTCTCTGCATCCATTTACATTCTCCCTTTTCTAGTGTTTTACCATGTTTGTTTTAAATCAGCTTTAAATTCCCTGTTAGAGAGTCATTTTCTTTAAAGCATTCCATGCTGTTGTGTGAGCAAATGTATTCTCATGGGTTTTCTGGTGTGTGCTGCTTTCACTTCGAAATTGGTAGAAGGCAGTCTTTTGTATTTTTATTTGTTCATTCCCAATTGCTTTTTAGTACTTAGTGGTTCTTTGACTTATCTTAATTCCTGGTCTGGTGAATTAATTAAAACTCATTCGCAAGGATACAAGTGTCGTTGGCAGGGCTGACATTTATTGCCTGTCCCTAATCGCGCTTGTTAAGAGATTGAGTTCCAGGTTTCTGATCTGGCAGCAATGAAAGACTGGTTATACATTTCCCAATCGGGATAGTTTTTCATTTAAAGATGACAGTGTTGCTTCATGCTTCGCATGCCCTTCCAGATAAGTGAGGTTGTGGAGATTTGAGGTGCTCTCGATGAAGCCTTGGCAATCTCAGAGAGATTGAAAGTTTAATGTGGTGGATGGGCTTCTACCATCTTTGTGTCAATCCCCTCCAAAAAGATTGGGAAACCCTCGACTATAGCTGGTTGCCTCAAAAGTGCAAACCTCCCTGTATCAGAAGAGATAAAGGCAGATAATAGCTGTTGTAACTTTAAGCAAATGGAACATGTTTTGTCATTGCTGGTTTTAACGTTGTGTCCCACTGTTGTAGGAACTTTGGCTGGAGTGATCGATCTGGCTGTTGACTGGATGACGGACCTGAAGGAGGGAGTCTGTTTGGCCGGGTTCTGGTTCAGTCATGAACAGTGCTGTTGGACATCCAACGAGACAACCTTCGAGGACAGGGACAAATGTCCTCAGTGGAAGACATGGTCAGAGCTTTTGGCTGGCCAGTCAGATGTAAGAAATTGCAGGGCTCCATTTGTCCCTTGGGCTCTGACATGATGCCAGTTGCAGTGCTCAGTTTCAGATGTGGTTAATTCTTGATAATGACATAGAGTTACAATGCGTCAGTTCCCCCTTGTGAGACACCAATTCCTGTTTGTGTTCCAAGGGCCTTTGTTTGGTGAGTTTTAGAACTTACCGCATCTTCTGCGTAATGGGCCAGAACTATTCTCGAGATGTAACTCACTGTCAATGAAATTCACAGCTTCGCTGAATGAGACACAATAGAATTTGATTGCTGTGCGAATTTACTTGTTTATTCTGCAGTTTGGATTACTGGTAGGTAATCCTGCCCAGCACTTTGCCACTATCAATCAATAACTCAGCCCTTTGGACTTCAAATCCCATTATCTGCGACCCTATGAAATCAACTCACTTCCTGTCTCTCAGTATCATAGTGATGATATTCCAAAGAATCAGTCGTTCAGCCCAGAATCCTATCAGGTCCAAGACAGTCCAATTAAGGACGCAGGAGTAGGAGTAGGCCAGCAGGTCTGCCATCATACCTGTTCTGATCATCCTCAGTTCCATTCTCAACCTTATTCTTTCTGAGGAAGTCATCCAGAGCTTCTCCAATCTATCCACATAGCTCCTTATCCTCAGAACCATTTGTTTTCACCTTTTTCTATACTCTCCCTAAAATGTGCAACATCCTTCCCAGAGTGTGATGGCTAGAAGTGAGCAAAGTGAGACCAAACCAGGGTTGTATACAGGTTGTATATTGTATTCAGAAGAATGAGGGGAGATCTTATAGAAACATATAAGATTATGAAGGGAATAGATAAGGTGGAGGCAGGGAGGTTGTTTCCGCTAGCAGGTGAAACTAGGACTAGAGGGCATCGCCTCAAAATAAAGGGAAGCAGATGTAGGACTGAGGTCAGGAGGAACTTCTTCACCCAAAGGGTTGTGAATCTGTGGAATTCCCTGCCCAGTGAAGCGGTTGAAGCTACCTCACTGAATGTTTTTAAGGCAAGGCTGGATAAATTTTTGAACAGTAAAGGAATTAAGGGTTATGGTGAGTGGGCGGGTAAGTGGAGCTGAGTCTCAACAAGATCGGCCATGATCTTATTAAATGGCGGGGCAGGCTCGAGGGGCCAGATGGCCTACTCCTGCTCCTAGTTCTTATGTTCTTATGTATACTGCTTCAACATGACTGCCTTCAATTTTGCTATTTATAGAACGTAAGATTCTGTGCGTCCTTTTTAACCACTTTCCCAACCTGCCCTGGTACCTTCAGAAATTTCTGCATTGATACCCACCGGCATTTGCACATCATCATGTTTCTCAGAAACACCCTGGAAATATTTCAAATATAATTAATTATTCTGGGTTAACTAATGCAGGCAAACGTGGAATCCACTTTGTCCAGCGTAGGTGGCCCCAAAATCAGCACGCAAGTGAATCTGATTTTTGTTTGCAGAGACAGTGAGGGAGAAATGTTAATCAGGGATGCTGGGAGAACTCTGTGCTCAGAGCAGTGTCATGACTTTCATTTGAGCAAATAGCTCAGTTTAAAGTCTCTACTGAAGGATGGTGCTTCTAATGCATCGCTCATCAAGCACTTTCACAAAATGTCCCAATGCACTTCCCAGCATTTTAAACAGAATTCACAATAAGCCACTTAGGAATTGTTGGGATTGGCTATTGAAAACTTCATCAAAAAGGTAAATTCTAAGCAGAATATTAGCAGAAATAGAAAAGGATAGGATTTGGATGGGTTTTTCAGAGTGTAGAGTCTAGGCCTCTTCAGTATAACCTAGATTACACACATAAATCTGAGTGTGGGGTGACCGTATAAGATGTACATTAGTCTGTAGGGAAGAGAGAATTGATAGCAGGCAGCGACTTGACAAGTTAATTGTATCAGGCTGATCATTTACAGCAACACAGTGAGTTGAAGCATAAGTGTTATCAAAGGACCTGACAGTGCAATTATTTATTGACATATTTGCCACCAGAGATAAATATCAGGGCCCTGACATTTTGTTAGCAAGTGAGGACTTTCCAATCAGAACATTTTCCAATGTGCTGGACCCACTTTGGTAAAATATGCCTCCAAATGTGCAACAAGAGAGAGGTAGCTAATCTTTTAATAGCATCTTTAAAGAGTAAAACTGTGAACTCAGTAGCCCGTTCTGAGATCGTTGAGGCTTTAGTAGTACAGCCAAACATTTTGACATTGGTTTAACATTTCATCTGGCAGATGGAATCGCAGGTAGTGCGGCACTCCCTCACTGCGTACGTTCGCGTCAGCCTGGATTTAACAAGCCAGAGCTGACAGGATTTGTGTCTGGGTCTGTTTGTGACATTGATTCTCGCAACTAGTCAAGAACTCCATTATCATTGTATCATTGTGACTTCCAGGATGGTAATTGGATATTTCCACATTAGGAATAGCAGTGTTTCTCATACGTACCAATCAAAACTTTAGCATGCCACGTGCAGTACGTTGGAAACTCTACGTTAACTACAGGCTCCCATATCTATATTGTTCTCCTCAGGGTGCCAGTGCATATATCCTGAACTACCTTATATATGTTCTCTGGGCTTTGCTCTTTGCGTTCCTGGGAGTGTCGCTGGTTAAGATGTTTGCACCCTACGCATGTGGCTCTGGAATTCCTGAGGTAGGTCCCTGGCAAAGAGCTTGAACTGCATTCTGAGTTTTATTGCAATGATCATGTACCTCTGTTGCTTCCTACATAATAAAACCTGTCACATCACCCACTGACTGACAAAATATCCTGCACTGGGTTCACCTCTCTTCAAGACTGTCACAGATTATGAATGTAATGCTTTGCAAAACATTTGATCGTGGGCTATTGTTGTAAGACAGGCTCGTGTCTGTGCTGCTGAAGCACCTAGAACTGGGATGCCCGTGACAGAAGCTGGGTTTTGCTCATATTCTCCTTCCTGACCTTTTGGAGATTCACATCCCGAGTTGCTGGTGATCAAGTCGTTAACATGCAGTAAATCATTCGACTGGTCGCATTGTGTAGAGATATCAACAGAGGTGCAGGCAGCTTGAATAGCTCCTGCTGTATATTTAACCTCCCTCCAGGGGGACAGTCTGCAATCCCTTCTGCCCACTGCATGGGTCCCCTCCTTTCCCAACAAACAAGCTGTGTCAGCCAGTCCTGACTCGCTAACCCACGCGCACCCTCCAACACCTTTGGTTGGAATCAACTTACTTCTACACTGTCCTAAAGAATTCATCTTGTATCTGCACCCCTTCATTCAAGATCCCTTATTCACTTGAGGAATGGGAGTGAGTCAGGTTGAAAGTGACCAACCTTAATAACAGGACCTCGTTAATAATTTTTAGCTCTGTTACCTGCATGGAGAGTGGGCTGGTGGGGAGAGGGGAAAGACCAGGGGCAGGAGGCCTCCAGAGCAGGCTGGTACTCTTGCATTAAACATGGGTTGAGTCTCAAGTGTGCCCGAATTATTCTGGTAAACTCAGCTCCTACGATAAGTTCATACAGCATAGACATTCAGTCTATTGTGCTGGTACTATTAAATCTGCCTTGTGCATTCTTTTGGACCGTGTATTCCAGATTATAATAATCCCGATCAAATCAGGCTACTGTCCTCTGTAGTGAAACGAAAACAGGCCCAATTTTTAAATCTGTCTCTCTTTATATGAGACAATTACACCAGTTTGAATCGGTACAGCACCCTTAAAGTGGCACAACATCCCATGCTACAAAGCAGGGGTGTAATGTGTCAAAGATTAGGCACCAAGCTACATAGAAAGGAATTAGGACAGTTGCCGGAAACTCGGTCAAATTGATTAGCATTAAGCCCTTAGAGGTCTCCTGAAAGTAGAGGGAGTTTGAGAAGTGAATTGTAAGCTTACGGCTAAAATGGTTGAAGGCAGAGCTGCCTGTAGTTGAGTGGAAACATTCAGGAATGTACAGGTGGGAGTCACGTAGACTGCTCGGGGTCGGGGGGGATTCTAATGTTCTGCCCACTGATGTGTGAGTGCGATGAAATGTGCCCCTGATACATCTAAAATCAGCTTTTAATGAAAGTTAATAGTTTAGAAATGAGTAATTATTTAGAAAGAAGTACCTATCAGGGTTAAATTGTACTGTGTTGCAGAGAAAGTTGTTAATGCCTTTAACTCCCTTTTAATTGACTTAACTCTTTTTTTTCTTCCAGATCAAGACCATCCTGAGTGGCTTCATTATCAGAGGCTACCTGGGTAAATGGACCGTACTGATTAAAACAGTCACGCTGGTTTTAGCTGTGTCTTCGGGACTGAGCCTGGGGAAGGAAGGGCCACTGGTTCATGTAGCATGTTGCTGCGGCAACCTGTTCTGCTGCTTGTTTTCCAAGTACAGCAAGAATGAAGGGAAGAGGAGAGAGGTAAGTGTTGGCTCTGTGGAAAAGGAGGATATGTCTGGTAGGAAATAAACTGGATGAGGTCCTGACCTCAGGGCTTCAGCATTAAATACAAAAGGTGGAGCCCAGCTCCTCAGAGTCAGGAATGGTTTCTAGATGCTGGAAATGCCGTGACATGGAAGGTAAGCCAAGGGTAAGGTGTTGAGCCCCTCAATCTCCTACCTCAACTCCATTTGTCCTACCAAAAGCAAAATACTGGAAATCAGAAATAAAACAGAAACTCAGCAGGGGTCACACTGGCTTTGCAATTTTAACTCTGCTTCTCTCTCCGCAGATGCTAGACTTTTCAGCACTTTCTGCTTTTATTCCTTTTACCCTATATTAGTCTACACCTCTGGTTAACCCTTGCCTAACAGGAATTCTATCCATTGAAGATCCCAATTCAGCATCCAGCGATTCACATCCATCAGCCTTTGGGTAAGAGCATTTCCACTGAGAAATGAAATGAAGAAAGACAGACATTTGACAAGTGGATATCCAGTGGGACCTGAATTCTTTGTTGATTGTCAGAAAAGCTTGGGAAGACAGTGAGGAATTTCACCCAATTCCACCCTTCAACCATTTTGGCCAAAAGCTCTCCAATTCACTTCCCCTTTAAATCCCTCTCATTTTCTTCAGGCCAAGGGGGGTTGCCATGGGTACCCACGTGGGCCCCAGTTATGCCTGTCTCTTTGTGGGGTACGTGCAACATTCCCTGTTCCAGTCCTATTCAGGCCCCCACTCACAATGATATCACTGGTGCTGCTTCCTTGTCTTGTCTGGAATTGGAAAAATGATCAATTTTGCTTCCAAAATCCACCCTGCCCTCATCTTCACCTCATCCATCTCTGACTCCTCCCTTTCCTTCCTGGACATCTTTGTTTCCTTTTCTGAGGATAGACTGGCCGCTGATATCTGTTACAAACACATTGACTCCTGCAGGCTATACATCCTCACACTCTACTTCCTGTAGGACTCCATTCCATTCTCTCAGTTTTTCTGTCTCAGTTGTATCTTTTCTGAATATGCCAGTTTCTTCAGGGGTCCTCAGAAATGTCCACCATTTTCCTCAACCGAGAATTACCTGCCACCATGGTCAACAAGGCCCTTATCCATATTTAGAATCCCTACAGTGTGGAAACAGGCCCTTCGGCCCAAGAAGGCCACACCGAACCTCAGAACATCCCACCCCCCTATAACCCACCTAATCTACACCTCCCTGAATACCGGGCAATTTAGCATGGCCAATCCACCTAGCCTGCACATCTTTGGACTGTGGGAGGAAACCGGAGCACCCGGAGGAAACCCACGCAGACACAGGGAGAATGTGCAAACTCCACACAGACAGTCACCCGAGGGTGGAATCGAACCCGGGTCCCTGGTGCTGTGAGGCTGCAGTGCTAACCACTGAGCCACCGTGCCGCCCAACCTTAATCCAGTGCCTTATACCACTCGGCCATACTACTAGATGATATCTGTTACGATATTTGGCTGATCTCTTGCATTTCTGCCCTTAGCCCTCCTTTACTTCCCACAACAACGATAGGGTGCTTCTGGTCCTCACTTATCAGCACCACCAGTCTACATCCAAAGAATTGTAAGTCTCTATTTCTGTGACCTCTAACAGGATGCCATGATTAGACACAAATTCTCCTCCCCTTCCTTGTTAGCATTCCGCAGGGACTGTTCCTTTCAGGACCCTCATCCTCCATTCCCACATTTCCTCACACTCACAAGGTTCCGGCCCATGCAATCACAGAAGATGGAAGACCTGCCTGTCTACCTCCTCCCTCCTGACCGTCTAAAGCCCCAGACATGGTGAAGCAGTGGTTTACCTGCACTTCATTCAATCTACTCGACTGAATTCACTGTTCACAATGTGGTCTCCTTTATATTGGGGAGATGAAACGCAGACTGTGCAACAGCTTTGAAGAGCACCTAAACTCTACTGCAAAATGACTCTGAGTGTCCAGTCACCTGCCACCTCAACACACCACTGTGCTCCCACGCCAACATTTTTGTCGCAGACTCCAGACAGCCTTAGCACAAGCTTGAAGAAAAACATCTCATTTTCCACCTGGGGGCCTTGCAGCCTCTAGCACTCGATATCGAGTTCAATACCTTTTGAACCTGAATCCATCCTTCTCTGTTTATTTTACCCACTCCAACCCAGTCCTGTAATGACATGGGTTGCTTGTAGCACTGTCACCTATTTGCATGTACTCCTGGACCAATTATCACATTATCTGGAACAAAAACAGAAGTTGCTGGAAAAGCTCAGCAGTCCTGGCAGCATCTGTGAAGAGAATTCAGAGTTAACGTTTCGGGTCCGGTGACCCTTCCTCAGAACTGTTTTTTGTCACATTATGTGGGTTGCATTCAGCATGGTTAAGCTATTTTCTCACTCAGTTCTGAGGAAAGGTCACCGGACCCGAAACGTTAACTCTGATTTCTCTCCGCAGATGCTGCCAGACCTGCTGAGCTTTTCCAGCAACTTCTGTTTTAGTTGTTTCCATTTTCTAACTCTTAGCTCTTACTATCACTTATTCAGTTTCTCCTCTGTCCTGGCCTGCTATCCATAACCTCCTTGCTAACCTACCCCTTTCGTATCTGACCCTCTCTGGGCTCCATCTCCACCTGTCCGTTCAACTCCCCCTCCACCCCTGACTTTTACTAGCACCTTTTCCCAGCTCCTGCCAGTTCTGACGAAGATTCGCCGGACTCGAAACGCTAGCTCTGCTGCCCTTCCAGCTGCTGAGTTTCGCCAGCAATGAGCGTGGTTGTTTCAGATCTCCAGTGTCTGTAGCTCTTTGTTTTAGCTTGATGAGAGGGGAGATTCGCTTCACGGTGGGAATACCTGGGCATTACACAGCTCAAACATTTCTCTTCCTTCCAGGTGCTGTCAGCTGCTGCTGCGGCAGGGGTCTCTGTTGCGTTCGGTGCTCCCATCGGCGGTGTACTGTTCAGTTTGGAAGAGGTAAAACATTCCCATTCGGACTTGCTTTATTCCAATGTTGTGTTGATGCCAGCAGCGTCAAAGTAGGCTTGAAATTAAGAGCACTAGAATATCAAATGAAATTTTATGTTCTGTTCATTCGTCAGTCATGTTATTTTCCTTCTTCATTCATCCATGGGATGTGGGTGTTGCAGGCTGGGCCAGCATTTTTTTGTCTGTCCCTACTTGCCCTTGAGAAGGTGGTGGCGATCTGCCTTCTAGAACTGATCAGTCTGTGTGCTGTAGGTTGACCCACAATGCCCTTAGGGAGGAAATTGGAGGATTTTGACTCAGCGACAGTGAAGGAATGCTGATATATTTCCAAGTCAGAGTGTTGAGTGGCTGGGAGGGGAACTTAGAGGTGGTGGTGTTTCCATGTATCTGCTGCCCTTGTCCTTCCAGATGGTGGAGGTTGCAGGTTTGAGGGTCAACTGTTTCCGCACTGCCTTGTGATGTGGGAGAGCAGGATGCTGAGCTCTCACCTCCCAGTACTGGCTTGAAATCCAGTGGGATGCTCTCACCGACAGGAGAGCATTGGTAAGGCTCTTGCACTGCATCTGAGCAGTTAGTGAGTGACCAGCTATTAAACAGCAACATGATCCGCTGTTGAAAGGAATGGGAGTGCGAGAGAGCAGGGGAACTCCACTCAAGCCTCAGTGAGGGGACTTCAAAACTAGTAGCGATTTCTTGAGTTACTTCGTTTCCTGGATGAAAATAGTCTCCTGCTTGTGATCTTCTTCTTACATGCGACATAGTTCCAAATAAAAATAAACAGCATATGCTAATCCACAGCCCTGAGTCTGTCTGTTATCGCGAGATGACCTGTACATGTTAATAATAGAATAGGGCCATAATTCCCTTGATTGATTCACTTCCACTCGCATTGTAGTTAAAGATGATGTCTGTACACTTGTAGAGAGTGTGGTTTGATTGAACTGATCTAACTCCGCACAAACTGCTTGCATCAGACCTTGCTGGTGTGAACGGGTCAGTGTCGTTAATTCTTTGTGATCACAAACATTGATATAGTCCAATTTGATTTAGATTTTGATTTGTACTATTTCTAGCAGATTTTGATGAGAGCTTTCATCCATTTTGATGTAGTCCTTATTCATTCCTTTGAACTCTCAGTCACTGTAAGTCTTGTACTATGGTCAAAGTATGATTAGCCTCTGATGGTTTCGCTACCAACCACCACACGCCCCCCTCGCCCCCACCCCCCTGGGGCATTTGACAGAATTGGATTCTGGTGACTGACCAGCTCAATCTGAATGTTTTCAGGCCTAAACTTTACAGATGTTGGCATCTCATTTTTCACTCACCAATGAGAATCTGGTCTCCTTGGAACAATCTACTGTTCAATCGACTTAGAAATGTGGCCATGGCAGTACCCATTGTTCGGGTACTAAGTGACCTTCTAAACTTTCAAGATGGCCAACAGAAAGCACACACCCTTGTGGTGTCGTGGTCCTGGTGATAAAGGCCAAGGGCTCTCCTAAAGTCACACTTCCATCTCCATTCCCCGGTCACTGGTTTTCCTGTACCCTCAGCCAATCAGATCTGATTGTTTTCCCTTCCTGCCATGGAGATGAGGACCAATATCATCATTCAGGTCTATAATCTCAAAGGCACTGGGCTAAATGACTGCTTTCTTCAGTTAATGAATTGAAATGTCTGTGGAAATGAAAGTGATTGTTCTGTCTGTCTGGGGGTCTGGCCTGAGATGTCAGCAAATGAGTCACATTGTAACACCACTATATCTTACAAGGCAGCAAAATGCCCGCTTTAATTCTCACGCTGCTGGGCTTGCTAATCTCCGCTGGTGTAGAGGTATTCTAATTGACTCCCACCCCCCGCCCCCCCCACCTCTGGTCCCCTGGGTTAGAGAGGAAAGAGCACTTACCCTCTGTAAGCCAGTATAAAGCACTATTAGAAGTGCTCAGAGACATTCACATTCACAATCTTAGCGCTTTCTGAGGAGGCTAGTGGGAGGCAGCAGGGAAGGAATAATTTGGTAAAAGCAAGTGTGGCAGTGTGGAGGAACACAGTGATCTTGGGGTTCCATGTCCATAGATCCCTTAAAGTTGCCACCCAAGTTGATAGGGTTGTTATGGTGTGTTAGCTTTCATTGGCAGGGGAATTGAGTTTAAGAGGTTATGCTGCAGCTCTATAATACCTTGGTTAGACCACACTTGGAACATTGTGTTCAGTTCTGGTCACCTCATTATAGGAAGGATGTGGAAGCTTTAGAGAGGGTGCAGAGGAGATTTACCTGGACTAGAGGGCAGGTCTTATGAGGAAAGGTTGAGGGAGCTGGGGTTTTTTCATTGGAACGAAGAAGGATGAGAGGTGACTTGATAGAGGTGTACAAGATGATGAGAGGCATAGATAGAGTAGATAGTCAGAGATGTTCTGCCAGGGCGGAAGTGACTATTATGAGGGGGCATAATTTTAAGGTGATTGGAGGAAGGTATAGGGGAGATGTCAGAGGTAAGTTGTTTACACAGAGAGTGGTGGGTGTGTGGAATGCGCTGCCGGCAGTGGTAGTAGAGTCAGATACATTAGAGACATTTAAGCGACTCTTGGACAGGCACATGGAGGATAGTAAAATGTAGGGTATGCAGGGTAGGTTGATCTTAGTAGGATAATAGGTCTGCACAGCATCGTGGGCCGAAGGGCCTGTACTGTGCTGTACTGTTCTATGTTGAACCTGAAGTGAGTAAAATGGAAGATGTGTTAGTGACGGCAGCTTCTGCTGTTTGTTTTCCAGGTCAGTTACTACTTCCCGTTGAAGACGCTCTGGAGATCATTCTTCGCTGCTTTGGTGGCTGCTTTCACGCTGCGCTCCATCAACCCGTTCGGTAACAGCCGGCTGGTGCTGTTTTACGTGGAGTACCATACCCCCTGGTACATGGCCGAACTGGTGCCTTTCATTTTCCTCGGGGTATTTGGCGGCCTGTGGGGAACGCTGTTCATCCGGGGAAACATCGCGTGGTGTCGGAAACGCAAGAACACGAAGCTGGGAAGGTACCCGGTGCTGGAGGTGATTATGGTCACCGCCATCACAGCCATCTTTTCCTTTCCGAATCAGTACACCCGGCAGAGTACCAGTGAGCTCATCTCAGAGCTCTTCAATGACTGTGGAGCGCTCGAATCCTCACAGCTCTGTGACTACATCAATGACCCGAACATGACTCGGCCAGTGGATGACATCCCAGACAGGCCAGCTGGTCCTGGGGTCTACGCAGCCATATGGCAGTTAGCTCTTGCACTGGTCTTCAAAATCGTCATCACCATATTCACTTTTGGCATGAAGGTAAGGGCCGTTCCACCTTGTGTGATCTTGATCAGCCGAGGATAAGTGAGCCCAGTGTGTTTAGCGCTCATAGAATCCCTACAGTGTGGAAGCAGGCTGTTCAGCCCATGGAGTCCGCACCAACCCTCTGAACTGCATCCCCCCCAGATCCCTGCCCTATCCCTGTAACCCTGCATTAACCATGGCTAACCCGCACCTAGCCTGCACATCCCCAGACACTATGGATAATGTAGTGTGGCCTACCTACCTCGCCTGCACATCTTTGGACTGTAGGAGGAAACCGGAGCACCCGGAGGAAACCCACCCAGACACGGGGAGAATGTGCAAACTCCACACAGACAGTCATCCGAGGGTGGAATCGAACCTGGGTCCCTGTGAGGCAGCCACTGATCCACCGTGCCACCCCTTTTGAATTAGAGCAGGTAAAAACAGGCCGGCCCTTAGTAAGGGGAGCTCAGCTCCTTGACCATCATCCTGGCTCTTTGACTCGGCTTGTTATCTAGTTACGGCATTATGGTGGCAAGTATTATTCAAACAGTAACCAGAGCTCCCTCATGCATTAGGACATATTCAAATTCCGCCACTCTGAGAACTCTGAATTCAGGTTAAATCCATAAGTAAAACTCTGGTCTCAGTAAGACTTGCTAACATCCCTGAGAATTAATTTTTAATGAATTGGTGTGCTGGTGCTCACTGGGAGGGGGTGTTGATGGTCAGTTAGTCAAAGAGGAATGAATGTCCCCAGGAAATCAGAACTTTTGGGGGGAGAGCAAATTGAAGAGCAGCTAATGTGATTATTTGATTCATTCACGGTGCAGTTAAATCCAAATTAAAACAAGCATACATTGCTGCGGAGTATGGGTAACATTTGTTCCTTACAAGGCTGTTGGGGATATTTTCCTTTGCCGGACACAGGGAAAAATTTCTTCCACCCTCCGAGGTGGGGCAGGCTATCTCTGGCCTGACCTGTTTCTGATATTAGCCATTCCATCCCTGTCCATTCCTGAGATGTGCAAGGTGTGCAGCTTGCTTCCTGGACCATTCCCTTCCAATGCTCCCTTGATCCTGTTGCTCCCTCAGACCGCCATGGCATTGGGTCTCCGATAACAGATATGGCCTGATACAATCACTTAATGGTAGATTTTTGTCTCCCTCCAAATAGTGAAGTCAGCCCAAAAGCTTCCATTATTACCTGGAGCCTGGAAATCCCTTTAATGCCACCTTGATCTTAAAGGTCATGGGTGACAACGGGCAGGCTTTTGAGGAGGGAACAAGATGGAGTGAAGGGCCATGATGAGACAGTTCAGATCTGCAATCCAACAGAATTGCTGCAATGAATTCTCAAATGCAGGAATTAAATGTCAATGATTCGTGTGGTCTCCTGAACTTCCCCTGCTCAGTCTGTGTACATAATGACCTTTTGCAATTCATGCTCCCAGATTTCTCTGCACCTCAGTGCTCTCATCTTTTATATAAGATACTGCTTTTTTATTCTTCCCGCCAAAATGAATAACTTTACATTTTCCCCACCCCTTTCGGCCCACTCCCCTTAACCTATCAATGACTTTTTGTAACCTCATTCGTCCTATTCACAAATTACTTTTCCACCAACCTGTGTGTCATCAGCAAATTTGGCAGCTATATCTAATTGCTTAATCTAAGCCCTGCTTAATACAAATTGTAATCAGTTGACATCCCAGCACTGACCCCTGTGGCACACCACTCGTTACATCTTGCCAATCTGAAAAAGACCAATTCACATGCGCTCTCTGCTTCCTGTTAGCCAGCAAATCTTCTGCCCAAGCCAAGGTGCTAGCCCTATATCATGAGCTTTTCTGCAGTATCCTTTGATGTGGTACCCTATCAAATGCCTTCTGGAAATATAGGCACAGTACATTTGCTGGTTCCCCTTTATCCACAGCACATACTTCCTCCTCTACAAACTCCTGATAGATTGGTCAAATATGATTTCCCTTTCACAAAACCATGCTGACTGGTCTTGATTGCCTTGAACTCACCCAAGTGCCCTGCTATAACATTCTAACAATTTCTCTAGGATAGATTAAGGGGGTGGCACAGTGGTTCAGTGGTTAGCACAGCTGCCTCACAGCGCCAGGGGCCCAGGTTTGATTCCAGCCTTGGGCGACTGTCTGTGTGGAGTTTGCACATTCTCCCCGTGTCTGCGTGGGTTTCCTCCGGGTACTCCGGTTTCCTCCCACAGTCCAAAGATGTGCAGGTTAGATGGATTGGCCATGCTCAATTGCCCATAGTGTCCAGGCATGTACAGGCTAGGTGGATTAGCCAAGGGAAATGCAGGGTTACAGTGACAGGATAGGGGTAGGGGTGGGGGTGTGGGTCTCAGTGGGGTGGTCTTTTGGAGGGGTGGTTTGGGCTGAATGGCCTGCTTCCACACTATAAAGATTCTGTGATAACTTCTATGATTCTAGGAAGATGTGAAGCTACATGGCCTGAAGTTTCCTGCTCTCCCAATCTTTGATGAAAAGAGTTATATTCACTATCTTTCAATCTAAGCAGGCCATCCCTGAATCAATGGCACTTTGGAAAATTAAAACCCATATACTGACTATTTCAATTTCAAAACCCTTGAGGGGGGGAAGTCAACCAGGACCTGGGCACTTAGTGTAATCTTTAGTTTACTCAGTACCTCTCTTCTCGTGCCTGTGATTCTCTGAACTGCTTGTGATATGTTTATATCCTTGCTTAAGTAAGGAGACCAATGCAGCACGCTGTGTGGCACTCCCCCACCAAACTGTTTGTCACTGCCTGTTCTGAACTGAAAGCTACTGCTTTTCCTCGGCTATCTTTAAAACCTTGGTCAGCTCAGCTAATTCACCACTCAGCAAAATCTGAGTTTTTCTGTTACTGATTAAAGCTAATATTTACAGTTTCTGCAGTAACCCAAAGCAAAAGGAATCTTGCGCATTTGGTTGCGATCTTTAATTTTAGTGTTTAATGTGAAGGTGGACCCCTCCCTTTATTTGCGGAAGATTATTGAAACAGTTGGGTTTCCCTGTAAACTGTGATGATGGGAAGCCTCCGGGCTGTGCTTCCTCAAAATTATCGCTTGTATTAAAATCTTGCAGCCCAGGAAGACGCTGTTCAGCCTTTTGAGCAGTTAAACGCATTCCTTGCTTTTTCTCTGTAGCTTGATTATTTCTTTTCTTTTGAGGTACACATCCAATACCCAGCTGAAAAAATTACAATTGAATCTCCTTCCACTGCCTTTCAGGCAGCAGGTTCCAGATCTCGACTCACTGAGGAAAACAAAATTTGACTTCCCCTCTGACTCTTTGCAGATTATATTAAATATCTCCCCTTCTTACTGATCCTCCTGCAAGTGGAAATAGTTTCACCTTATTTACTGTATTGACACATCTCATAATTCTGAGCACCTTATAAAATCTCCCCGTAACCTTCTCTGCTCTAAAGAAGAACATAGAGTCATACAGCATGGAAACAGACCCTTCGGCCCAACCAGTCCATGCCAACCATATTCCCAGTTCCCATCTGCATGCACTTGACCCATATCCCTCCAGACATTTTTATTCATGTACTGATATAAATGTCTTTTAAACATTGTAACTGTACCTGCATCATTCCACATATGAGCTACTCTGTGTTAAAAAACAGGATTTATTTGAGATTTATACATATGATTTTTGTTTATTTCTTATTTTTTGTATGCTTAATTAACTCTTTGGGTAAAGAAAGGTAGTTTATTTTATATCCAAGGTGCTATTGTAAGCTGCTTCTTTTAGGCTTAATGGCATTGAGGACATACAAGAAATAATCTTGTTTCCTTCAGTTTTGCTAGCTGTGTCGTGACGTAACATCCTGCACAATAATTACATCAGCTGCAGCCTCACATAAATTTCCTGACCCCAGCTTATGTTGCTGTCTACTACTAGTTTATATCTGTTTAAAATACTGAGTAATGAAGGAGTGAACTGTAGGAACAGTTTTGTTACCTTGTGTACTAATGTGATTAAAATTGCACATTATTTTTGGACATGGGAACAATCAGTTAATTTTGTCAAGGTTGGAATCGGTAGAAAGTTTTCATAAGGAAATTTTCAAGTTTTAGGTGCTTGGATATCTCAATATCCACGAGCTCCCTTCTGACTGTATTTGAAAGAAAGTTAACCTTTATCTTCGTAAGTCGGAGCACCAGCATTATTTACTACAAAGAAGTGACAGGTGTTGGCTTCATTTCCATTGCTTCCTGACTTGACATGGGAGTTAAACGCTGCTAACGCATCTGGTGTTAACAACTCCTTACAGAATAGCATACTAGCAAAGGTCAAAGTAAAAGTGTCAGCCTCTTACTGGACTGTAGGGCTGCTCTCCCATGAGACAGAGGGACAACTGGTTACCACACCTCAAGTAAGGGGAGAGACTGAGAAGGCGAGTCTTTCATAGTAACCTCAGCTGGCATGGGTTTTGAATCCATGCTGTTGGTGTTGCTCTGCACTGCAAACCTGCCGTCCAGCTAACCAACCCCTTAGCAAGCTTGCAAACACCAAAAGGATGTGTCAGGTTCTTTTATCCTCATTGTTTCTGCAGATGCCGTCAGGACTGTTTATTCCAAGCATGGCTGTCGGAGCCATAGCTGGCAGAATGGTTGGTATTGGTGTGGAGCAGATGGCCTATCACCACCATGACTGGTTCATCTTCAGAAGCTGGTGCAGGCCTGGTGCAGACTGTGTCACCCCAGGGCTGTATGCTATGGTTGGTGCTGCTGCGTGCCTTGGTGAGTGATTCCTGATGTGCCATTAACTAGTGACTTTGATTTCAGCAAAGCCAACGAGCTTTAGACTTGTATCCAACTTGAACATTGTATATTTTGGAATCTCTTGACAGCATTGTGAATGTTGACCTATTTTGTTGGGTAGCACCTTTGAGTTGAAAGGAAAAGCTTGACAACTATAGTGAAGGCTTTGTTCAGCCTGGTAAATACTGGAGATTTCCTAATGGAACGTCTGTTGGTCAAGTCAGAAGGCTGTGGGTTCAAGTCCCTACTGTAGATACTTGAGCACAAATAATCCAGGCTAACATCTCAGCACAACTCCGAGGGAACAGTATATTATCTGAAGTGCTCTCTTTCAGTTGGGCTATTAAACTGGGACCTTGTGCACTCTCAGGTGAACTTAAAAGATCCTGTCAATTAATTTGAAGAATAGAAATGGAGGTCTCCCAATACCTTGGCCAACATTCTATGTGTATGTACGCCAGTTCCTTAAGGTATCACCAGGCCCTCAACTGTGGTTAAAGTGTTTAAGAAGGCATATTGAGCACTTGTCTTTATTAGCTGAGCTAGGGAGGTTCTGATGAAACTGTATAAAACGTTGGTTAGGCCACAGTTAGAGTACTGTGTGTAGTTCTGGACACCACAATGTAGGAGGGATATGATGGCACAGAAGAGGGTGCAGAGGAGATTTACGAAGATGTAGCCAGGGCTGGAGAGTTTCAGTTATGCAGAGAGATTGGACAGACTGAGATTGTCTTCCTTTGAGGAGAGGAGACTGAGAGGGGACATGAAGGTGGAGCTTTGCAGTGCCTCATCAAAAAGATAGCACTCTGACAGAACAGCAATCCCTGTTTTGTCGTGTATTAAATTTTGGTTAGGTCACATTTGGATATTGTGTGCCGTTCTGGTCACCACACTATAGGGAAGATGTGAAGGCTTTGGAGAGGGTGCAAAAGAGAGTGTATTAGTTATAAGGAGAGGTTGGACAAACCTCAGAGTCTTCTTCCCAGGGTGGGAATGTCAAGTATGAGGGGGCATAGGTTAAAGGTGAGAGGGGAAAGGTTTGAAGGAGATGTGCGAGACAAGTTTTTTACACAGAGGATGGTAGGTGCCCGCAACACACTGCCAGGGGAGGTGGTAGAAACAGATACTATAGCAATGTTTAAGAGGCATTTAGAAAGACGCATGATCAGGCAGGGAATAGAGGGACAGGGACCACATGCAGGCAGACCGGACTAGTTTACAATGGCATCATGGTCAACACGGACATAGTGGGTTGAAGAGCCTGTTGCTGTGCTGTACTGTTCTATGTTCTAATGTGTTGGAGTGACAGCCTGGATTACTTTTCCAAAACCTTGAATTCACAAGCCATCAAAAGTAGAAATTGCTGGAACAGCTCAGCAGGTCTGGCAGCGTCTGTGGAGAGAAATCAGAGTTAACGTTCCGGGTCGAGTGACTCTTCCTCACCAAACCCGAAACGTTAACTCTGATTTCTCTCCACAGACGCAGTCAGACCTGCTGAGTTGTTCCAGCAATTTCTGTTATTGTTTCTGATTTACAGTATCTGTGGTTCTCTCGGTTTTTATCTTGAACTCGCAAGGTTTTGACGCAGAAACAAGAGTGTCAGCGCTGAGCCAAATCTGACTGCAACAACAACATGCAACATCTTACACTTAAGAATATTTTGAAGCAAAATATAACACTGAGTCACTTACATAAAAACAGGTTCAGATCAGATAACCAAAAACTTGGATCAGAATGAGAGGTTTTAAGGATGGTATGAAAGGAGGAAAGCAAGGGAGAGACCTGAGAAGAACAAGGAGTGGAATCCAGACATTGAGGCATAAGAAACTGAAACTACTGCCTCTGCTTATTGGATTCAAATCGATGTGCTCAAAGGCTGAGAATTAGTGGAGGACTGATAACCTTGGAGGATATCGGGCTGGTAGAGATTACACAGATATGAAGGGCTCGACTATGGTGGGATTTAAAAATAAGGATGAGAATGTACTAATCAAAATGTTGCTTGACTGGGAGCCAGTACAGGCCAGTGAGGACAAGGGTGATAGGTGAACATGACGTGGTGTGATTTAAGACACAGGTGGTCTTGTTTTGGATAACCTTGGGTTTTACGGCAAGTAGAACGTGTAAAGTTAGTCAGTAGAGCATTGGAGTAGTCATATCTTGTGTATGTAGTGTAGAATTTGGATAGGGATAGGCATATTGTGCAAACTTGACAACTTCCAGTTCTGAAGTGAGAGATTGTAAGGATTACATAACATGCATTCACATTAAATATGACAAGTTGTGTAATCAGACGAGTAAAACTTGACAGCGAGCCACAGAAGGAGACTGGAGAATCTTAGTCAAAAGTTGGAAGGAATGGGATTGAAAATTCGCCTGAAAGGAGACAGAGAGCGGGAACCTGCAACGGTTTAGGGAGGGAATTCTACAGCTTAATGGGACATCACCAATAGAACAAAGAACATCATGGGTTTGCAAGAGACTGGAGTTGGAAGAGTGTAGAGATTTCAGAGGGTTGTACAGGTAAAAGGGAGTTACAGAGATGGGATAGGCCGTGAAGGGATCTGAAAACAAAGGGTGAGAATTTAAGAATAAATGCGGGGCCAGCTTTATCACACTCCTACTTGTCGAGCCATTGACTTTATGGGAGATGTTTAAGAGTGCCTCATTCTAGCTATTGACAATTTTGCCACAGGTGGAGTCACTCGTATGACGGTGTCCCTGGTTGTGATCATGTTCGAGCTAACTGGCGGATTGGAGTACATTGTACCATTAATGGCTGCAGCGGTGACCAGCAAGTGGGTGGCAGATGCCTTTGGGAAAGTGGGTATCTACGAAGCGCACATCCACTTGAATGGCTACCCTTTCTTGGATTCAAAGGATGAGTTCAGGCACAGGACCCTGGCAACGGACGTGATGAGGCCAAGACGGACTGAGCCCCCACTCTCTGTCTTGACCCAAAGCAGTATGACAGTGGAGGATGTGGAGACCCTTATTAAAGAGACAGATTACAATGGCTTCCCTGTGGTCGTCACTAAGGAATCGGAGCGGCTCATTGGCTTCGTCCAAAGAAGGGATCTCATTCCCGCAATCAGTGAGTTTTTCAGCTCGGCGGATGTTATTTGTACATTGCATTTTTACTTTGGATTCAGGACAGAGTTGAGTTTTACAGACTTCCTTTGAATGTTTGAAGTTGGGGTGAGCCGTTGGCTCAGTGGAACCAGTGGCGCTGGGCCTGAGCATTGCTGCAGGCAGTCCCAGTGAGTGGACAAACATATGAATTAGGAGCAGGCCATTCAGCCCCTCAGGGCTGCTCTGCCACTGTACAAGATCGTGGCTGGTCTGATTGTGCCCTCAATTCCACACTCCTGCCTACACCCAATCACTATTGACTCCCTTAAACTGTTAGCCAGGGGACCTGTCTACTTCTGCTTTATAAATAATCAGTGAGTCTGCCTCTCTGGGGAAGGGAATTCAGAGACCGACATCTCTCTGAAAGAAAGAAGAGAATTCTCCTCAGCCGCATCTAAAATATCTGAAATAAAATCCAGCAGCATATTCATGTCCAGTAAGTATTTGTGATGCCCCTTGCTTCAAACATCTGGTTTTGTAGGGCACCTAGCAGCATCCTGCTATTTAGAGGAAGGCAACCTGTTGGCTCATGGTGAACGGTTGTGTACCTGGATGGGTTATTCATGTCGTGGCCTGTCAGAGTGTCAACTGATCAGCTCATCTCTCCCCTTCAATTGAATTCATTCCAGAAAGTGCAAAACCAGAAACTGAGCTAAAGTTGACTGGCAATGTCAATAGAAACTTGACACACATCCATCCAAACACTGAACCCCGTACAAGGGCAATAACATGAGAAGTTATACGGGATTTCTCATTCAGGTCCAGGTGGTCATCTTGTTCAGTACTAACAGAAATGATTTTCCGTCAGGAATCGGCGGGGGAGCTCTGTCAGAATTTGCTGAGAGCACCAGACTGTGTTTATCACAGTCTTCCTGATTGTGAGGGGAATCAAGTGGCTGGATAAATGAAGTAGGATTGCGGCAAAGGGATTTGGAGGGGTGGAGGCTGCCCCAAAATGGCTCAGTGGTTAAATCCATTGACAACTTAGCATTGTACATCTAGGCCAGAAGAAGCCCAGATTTGATGACCTGGTTTGAGTTGAGTGCTAGGAATTGGTGAAAGCATCAACCTGTACTCCGCTGCACCAATTCTGTCCTTCTGCCTGGAAAATGTTTGTGAACTGGGAGTACGATCAGTGTAGTAAGATCAGGCGAGTGAACATCAACAGGCCCTTACAAAACATAAGCTTGTACAAGGCATGGTAAGAAGGGGCATCTCTGGAACTGTGCAGACCTGGGTCCTATTCTGTGTGGTCTTATATCATCATTATGTAGCTCCTCACAGAGATGCTCAGTAGTTATTACAGTTAAGCTCTTGTTAGCCCTTTACTGTGTTTGGTGCCCAGGACCATTGGTTCAGGTATGAGATAGTTGATAATGCCCATTGGTAACATACCCCTGGATGAAATAGTGCCTTCTGGAGAGGAAAGGAGAAAATGAAAGGTGTTGCATACTCCTGTGGGTTAGGGGGAATCAAAAGGTTAACCAGCCAGGTTTTGTGTTCGCTCAATGTTTGTTATTTTCCTCCCCATGTCAGAAAACGCAAGAAAGGTACAAGACGGAGTGGTCAGCAACTCGATTGTGTATTTCACTGAAGATCCGCCACCGTTACTTGGCAACAGCCCATGCCCACTCAAGCTGCGGAGGATTCTCAACCTGAGCCCCTTCACGGTAACGGACCACACGCCCATGGAGACGGTGGTGGACATATTCCGTAAACTTGGTCTCCGGCAGTGCCTGGTCACCCGCAGCGGGTGAGTTGTGTTTTGTTGATGCCAAGGACATCTTCTGAGTGAGTTTACTGCCTTCCCACAGAACATCCATCTACAGCAGCAACAGACTGAGGGATGGATGCCATGTCATATGGTGCCGTAGAAAGCTACAGCTGAGGGATTTGGGGTCCCCATGTAGAAATTGCAAAAGAAAATTCCATAAAAGTTCAGTGGGTAACTAAGATCCTTGGCCTTTATTTCAGTGGGAAGGCTGTTTCCCCTTGTGGGAGAGTCCATGATCTCAGGATAAGGGGTCATCCATTTAAGACAGAGATGAGAGGGAATTTCTTCTCTCCGGAGGTAGTGAATCTGTGGAGTTCTTTACCGCAGAGGGGCTGTCGAGGCTGGATCATTAAGTGCATTCAAGGCTGAGATAGTCAGATTTTTAAATCAGTAAAAGAATCGAGGGGAGAAGGCTGGAAAGTGGAGCTGAGGAGTTATCAGAAAGCCATGATCTCATTGAATGGCAGACAAGACTGAGTGGGCCAAATGGCCTATTTCTGCTACTGTCTCTTTTGATCTTTTTGTCTTATGATTAGAATAACTAATGATGAAAAACTTTCAAGTATAGAGCAAAATGGAGGCTGTGATATTTTCAAAACACCATTAGCTTGTCTTTGTATAGTACATTTGATGCAATGAAGCATCCCAAGGCATTTTTAGGAACAGTGTTAGCTAGAATTTAGCAAAAGTCTACATGAAGCAAGATTGGGACAGACAGTCAAAATCCTGATCAGTCTCTGTAACTGTATTGGTTTTGAATCCCCTGTAAATTATTTCCCAAATTTCTCCTGACAATCACGGCCTGTGGAAACAGGTTGGAGTTGCAGCTGAGTGCACAGGGTGGGAACGTCAATGAGAAAGTGAGATGAGGCAGCGCTTGTAATGAGACAATGCTTAGTCCCTTTAATAAAAAGAAAGACTTGCATTCATATAGCGCTTTTGAAGACCGCAGCATGTCTTACAGGCAATGAAGCACTCGTTGAAGTGTAGCCACTACTGAAAGTGTGGTAGCCATTTTCAATGTCATGAATCGTGGTCCCTTTAAGAATGAAACAGGACATCCTCCAGAGATACTAGGGAGCTGCTGATCTTCTTAACTGCGTTTTAATTCAGTCCTTTCCTCTCTCCATACTTTTCCTCACTTTTGATGTCATTTCGCTTTTAATTAGAAACAAGAGTGATTAGGTGGTTACAAGACATGTTCAGATTCTCTGGATAGAAAGTAAAGAGCTTTTTCTTACATTTGTGCCCAAGTTTCCTTGGAGAGGGAACAAGCAGTGTCTACCAACACCCTGAATGCCTTTAGAGAGAGGTGATCACTGCAGTGCTTTATTTCCTCCTTTTAACTTCCTGCCTTACCACCCTCCCCTGCTTTTGTTGCATCCTGGTGGGCAATGCTTGGAATGAATTATTTGTCAACTGGATGATGTGGTTGTCAGTTTTCCAAAGTTACAATAGAACGGCTAATTTTCCCCACTAACAGGCATTGATCAGGAAGGGGATCAAACAAATTACTGAGCTACGAAATACAGATAAACCATTTTTGGAAGGCTGATCGACTCCTGCTTCAGTAAATGGATAATTTAGCAATGTAACAGCCGAAAACACACGGAGCGAACCTCCTGCAAACAGTGGTGTAACAGTGAACGGACAATCTGTGTTGTAGATGTAGACTGAGGGATACATATTGATCAGGACACTGGGAATTCTTCCAAAGAGTGCCATGTGATCTGTTACATGGAGCTGAGCAGATCGATGGGGAGGCCTTTGGTCAACGGATTCTCTGATATGCTCCATCAGAATGGTACTGGAATGTAGCGTTGATTGTTATGGTCAAACCTGGGCTTGGGTCCTGAACCCAGAGCCTTGTTGTTCGGGGACAGGAGTGCTACATACTAAGGCATGTCTGACGCTCTGAGCCTGTCAGAAGATGCGATGAGAAGCACAGAGGCAAGATGGCGGCTGACCTCATGGGGCGTCAAGTCCAGGTTGCAGCAAAAGAGAAATGAATTGGAGGAGTAATGAAGGGTGGACATCGCAAATTGGGATGGCACAGTACCTGAGAGAGGAGAAGTGAAGGGAAGCACAATGATCTTGAATAGAGTCCAAGAGAGGTAAAGGCAACAGAAGCAGAGAGAAAGCATGAGGAATGGGATAGAATGGTAATCTCAGGTATGTAGCAGCAATCAAAATGTGTGTGCAAATAGACCTAGGAAAGCGAAGTTAGACTCGGCCTGGTTACATTAATATTAGGATTCATTAACAGCGAAACGGGATAAGAGATAGTAGATTGGAGTTAAAGTCCGATCTCCTATGGTGGGATAACTGTGACATCGGCAGGATGAAATCATTGTGGAGCATCGACAAACCTCTTGGAGTTGGGAGGTGGGTGTAGCAAGTGGTTTCCCAGTGTTGAATGCGGATGGTGTGTCAGAGAGCATATGGATGGTGGCATTTTCATGGGAGTAAGGACTTAGGATATGGCTGGAGTTCATCACAAAGCAATAGCTAAGGACACCATTAACGTTGTCATTAAACGTGTTTAGAGCAACTCAGAATTGGCAATAACTCCAGCTCTGTGTTGGCAAAACCTTTTATTGCCACTCCAGAATGGATTGCTGGAAAATAATTAGACAATCGTAACCTCTTCTGTACCTTGAATCACATGAATGCCATATTATAAGTATTTTTATTCTTCTTCTTGCAGACGTCTCTTGGGCATCTTAACTAAAAAAGACGTACTGAGGCACATGGCCCAAATGGCAAATCAGGACCCTGAATCCATCATGTTCAATTGACCACTCGTGTGGTCACAATGCTGCCTTGCCCAGTTCAATTTTCGAAGCTAAATGGCAGGACAAACTCTCAGGACATGGTGGCTTTTCAGTGAACGGAAAGTCTAATCACAGGATCAACAGAACTTCTCTCAAAAACAGACTTGTTCAGAAGAGGAGCAGTCAGCAATGCACTGATTAAAGACTGAGTCATGGCGAGTTCATTGTGTTCCTTCGGATGACTGAAGAGCCAAAGCCGCAGCTCTATTGTAGAGTGTGATGTTGTGGTGGATGATGTATCTGATGTTAACTGGCCAGCTTTGTCGGAGAATTGCGCCCACTAGGGGTAAAACAGTAGAGATTAATAAATGTAATAGCATGTTGATATTGGTCAGTGGTGTAGCAAACACTAGGTAAGAGCTACTGTGCCAGGCAAAAATAGGGAATAATCCTTCAATCTGTTTGGATTGATGCTTAATATAGAAAATGCCAGTATTAAAAAAAAAGCTTGCATAATTTCCTCACTTACCCATCAAGTTCAGAAGAAGTGCGATGAGTAACAATAAATTGTGTTCACATCAACGCGTTATATAGAATTCTGCAGCCCAATTGGTCTGTGTTAAGGCTTATGATCCACTTGAGCCTCAGCCTTTCCAATCTCTTTTCAAACTATAAACATCTCCTTCGATTCATTTCCCCTCATGTGTTTACCTTCCCCTTAAATCCATTGGTGTGAAGAAACTCCACCCCAGCCTTAGCAACCACAATTTAACTTGATCAGCTAATGGTATAATTGAAGTGAATATGCACTGCCCCCACTTCAAGGTCAGTGTAACTTTCTTGTGAAGGGTGAGCACAGACCTGGGAACAGTATTCTAAATGCGAGCTAACTGGAGCAGTGTAGCTTCCATCCCTTAGTATCTCGGTCCTTATGAGCTAAAGGCTATCAAGTTATGTTGAGAAACATTAGACAGTTTCAGAAGGTAGGAGCTGAACTATGCCAACAGAATTCCTCACTGTGCCAAGTTTTATAATTGACTGCTGTTGACTCAGAACTCTGTATCTAGTTGTGCACCTTGAGGATTTGATCTGTCAGGGGGCCCACAGGATGTTCCATGCATTCAAAACGAAAATCTTGCAGAAAGCAATCAGAAACACGGTTCCCATTGTGTAAAGCTCTCCTACAGTTGCTTTCAAAGATAAAATGAATGCTTTGGTGTTAATACATTGGCACTGTATCAAACAAGGACTGTTCTTAGTACATCATCTACGTCTGTTTTGGGAAAAAGATGCAAAATGACACAATTGTTTGCATCGTGAAATTTGTTAAATCAGTAACGTTACTCATGATGTGCTTCACAGGTAAAACTAAGCTGAAGTTGCTGATAGGCAGTGAATTGTGAACTATATTGTATTAATGTCAGTGTGTCAATCCAGGGTAATTTTCTTTCAAATTCCATTCTCCTGTGTTCAATTACTTATTTTAATACGGGATGTATTCATAATTTAGTTGCCATATCGGGAAGATTGCTTGTACCTACTTCAATAGATTTCTTGCATTCCTAACTGTTGCGTTGTACAACTTGCTTCGTTTGGACACCATCAAAATTGACCAGCAATTGCCCACAGTTAAACCATTTCTCTTGCCAAAACATACCATGAGTTTCACCCTGAAGATCCATGTATCGAGGAAATTGAAGCCTCGTTATTGAACAATTTCACAATGATGGTTGGCTGCTCACCTGCCTTTCTCTGCTGTCTTCTCTCTATGGAGCAGACTTCTCAAGCTGCAATTGGCATCCCAGTATATTTAATCACTTCCAGCAGAGCTCCTGGAGACTGTTGCCCTCCCATGGCTGTGACAGTCCCCTACCCTACTGCTGTTTGCGATCTCTACATCCCTCCAATTCTTTCCTTTTGCACACACCAGATTTTCACCACTCCACCACCAATGGCCGTGCCGTTGGCTTCTCAGGCCCCAAGCTCTGGAAACTCCTCCTTTAACTACTGAGATAACAAGGTGTAGAACTGGATGAACACAGCAGGCCAAGCAGCATCAGAGGAGCAGGAA